ACCCTAATTAGGAGAAGAAGACCTAGTCTTCATCACGAGGAAGTTCAAAAAGTACTTCTAGCCTAATAATGTAAAATCCTCAAGGTTGAAAGAAAAGCTTAGTAGACCTAGAACTCCTAAGGAGGGAAAGGTGAAAAAGGGGGAGAAACTCTTGAAAAAAGGTTGAGAGAAAGGGGCAAGGCTTCCAACGCTTTGTGTGGCAAGGATTTGGATACATTGTTATGGAATGCCCAAATAAAACAAAGAGAGATTTGCCCAATGAAAAAAAGGAGAGTTATGGAGGCCAAATGGAGGGATAGTGCAAGTGATTCCACATCTAGTGATGACTCCTCTTCTCAAGAAGATGAAGAGAATTTCACGTTCTTTGTAGCTTCACAATCCTCTCACCCTAAAGAAACTTCGACTAGTGAAGTTGAAGCAAGTCCTACTATGATGGTAGAAGATCTAAAAGAGGAAGTCCCCACATGCGAGGAGGACGTTAAGAGCTTTGAGGATATACATGATGCATATGATCAATTGTATGAACAATTCCTCAAACAATTAAAAAAAAAAAAAAATTTCCTTGAGTTTCCATGTAAACTCAAGTGAAGAAGTTCAAAAAGCACTACATGTGGGCTTAGTGAAGTCCAAAGCTCAAATTTGTGGGCTTTGAGGAAGAGAAAAAGTCTCTTCTAGATAGAGTGAGCTTTCTTTAGAGAGTGTGTCATGAGCTTGTTGAATCTAAGAAGATTCATGAGTTTAAACTTTTCAAACTTGATAGAGATCTTCTTGAATCGAATGAACTCTTTAAGAGATTATCCCTAAGCACTGCAAACCTTGATAGAATGTTGTCAAAGGGAAAAAAGTGTAGGTGACAAGCGTGGTTTAGGTTACACACATGAACAAACCACCAATACTTCATCCAAAACTGTGTTTGTAAAGGTTAATCTGAACCCATCACCCCCATGTGTGAACATTAGTCTACCAAAGACTAAAAATGGTAAGGGTATGAACTAATGGGTTTGCTCTTTAACCCAGCTAGGTCTTTTTCTCCAATGTGTGACATTGGATAAGAATCACTAAATGATAGTCTTTGGATTTAGGGATTTAGGGTTATGTCTCAAGCTCTCAAAATATAAGATAGGCTAAATTTTCTATCAAGAGGCTTGGTCTAGGTGTGAGAAGACATCCCTTTATTTATAGGCCCAGAAATAGGGTTTGTCTTAGGGACTTAAAAAACACAAATTCGAGAATGACCGCTTAAGCAATGAGAGGGCAATCAAAGGTCGATAGTCACTGGAATGAAATATGAATTCCAAACCAACTTAGGAGAGCAAGATCTCTCGAGCGGCCTCAAAAATCGCTCAAGTGGCCCAGAGGGCGATTCTTGTTACTCCACCGTTAGCCTTTGACCAGTTTTTCCCTAAGTCTTTTAAAGACTTTCTCTAGCAAAGACTAGCGAACATTGAGCGGTCTCTACTAGTTTTTAAACCTAAAATCAAGTGAAAAATTTGTGCTTTTGAACACTATAGGGCGTTGCTCATAGAGGTTCGATAATGACTCAAATCTATGTTTTCAAAATATACAAGAGGTTGACTTTTCTTTGAAGAATACTTTAGAGTCATACTCGAATTAATTACCGATTCTATTTTAATATTAATACTCCTAAGTCTATTAAACTAAGGGATCATCTTAGTTCTCTAGGTTTTTACCGTGTCCTAAGTAAGAAGGTACATACGAAGTGCTTTTAATGTAGTTTTGGCGTATGGTCTCCTTCCTTTAATTGATACTTTTAGATCTTCATTATTGTAGTATCATGACTATGGAATATATTGAAATTTAAAAGAACTTCACAAAATTAGTCAATTAGAAAACATGATCTAATAATCTGTTCCTTTAATAATTTTGTAATAAAATACACAAATAATAAATTATTTCGATCAAACTATAGTAAGAAATTAGCCAATTCTAAGAATTATCATGGTCAAACCACACTTTAAAACCTCAAAGATGGCAAGCCAAATCAAGATGTATGACCCAGTAATTGCCATCATTTGACGGTGTAAAATAGATTCTATGTTTCAGATGCAGTATACAATACAAATAGGAGAATTTTTATGGCACCGTCAGCAGTATCGGTATCAAAAATTAAAATTTTTAAGGATAACTTATAATTTTTTTGAGGTGTAAGTTATAATTTCAAAGGATATGATCGATCATGGAAGGTTGGGATCGATACCGTATTTTTCATGATCAATCATGAGTGTCTGTGATCGATCATGATCTGCCTTGAGTAGTTGGAACTTCTCATTTCAAAGTTGTAGTTCTACCATATAAAATAATAACCTACATTTTTTTTTCGGTTCCTTAGAGTTTCCCATACAAGCATGGATGCAATGCTGGCTCCAGGTATAAGCAACTAAAGTGCTTGTCTAGGCCCCCTAATTTTAAAGGACCTAAAAAATTTTTGTTATTATAATAGGCTTTTTTTTTTTTGGGTATTTTAGATATGATCTAAATTGTTATGGCCCAAAATTTAAGAGTTTAATTCAATATCTAATTTCATTAAGTCTAAAATTACTCACGATTTAGTTAAACCCAAATTTTGAAAGGCCCTCAAAAATTTACCACTTTAATAGACTAGGCATTTTTATTTTTATTTTAGATATGATCCAAATTTTAAGAATTCAAATTAATATCTAATTTTGTTAGGTCTAAAATTACAGTTCACTTGGTTAAATCCAGTTTAAAGGGCTCCAAAAACTTTACTCTTTAGTATAGTAGGCCTAATTTTTGTTTTGTATGTTAGATATTAACAAAATTTTTAGGACCCAGATTTTTAAAATTCCAATAAATATATGTTTTTTAGTCCAAAAATACTTTATACTTAACTGCAAATTTTAGATGCCTTATTAAATTGCTTGTTCAAAACTTAATTGACAATATTTTATTTACGATCAATTAAGATTAAATAAAGTAACTATATTATCTATTGAAAAATATTTATTGTCAAAACTTAAATATAAGAAGTTGATTAATATTTTATATTTAAAAAAATAAAATTAATTTTTAAATAAAAAATTAAATAATAATTATAAATAATATAAATTAATTGGCGAAATATTAATAGAGCCCATGCGCGTAACTTACCGAAAAGCCTCCATTTCAGTGGTGGTGGTCGGTGATGGCATGCCGTTAAGTGACGGTCAAACCTATGATTGTATGCGGTGGCAGGCAGTGAAGAAAGGGGGGTACAAGCGAAACATGGATTTGAGTAGAATTTGAATATGAGATTGTAGATTTTTTTGAAATAATTTTGTCTATTTTAAATTTGAGCAAAAATTGAGGATATCCTTAGAAAGATATAAGCTTTACTTCTACTAACACAATTGATCATCATAGCCACTGTGGTTGCATCATTTGACAAATAGAAATGATGACATCACCATCATTCCAGGCCACCATCCACCGAGTATGTATAATTCATTCATTCGCTTTTATTCATTATGTTAGCAGAGTGAAACTTCGACCGAATATGGATATCAAATTCCACCACTGAGAAGTCTGAGCAATATCTCGGGCCTTGACAAATGGTTGGCCACTTTTTACCGTTTAACAGAACAAAAGGCCCGAGCAGGGAAGAATAATCCAATGCGAAAGAGTGTAAGTGTCGTTATACAAACGCGATTGATGTGGTTAACACTAGGGTCGGTTTGGCTGATTTTTTGGGAGGTGTTTAAATTAGTTTGTCTAAATTCTTTTAAACCCAAAGATGAGATTCAACATTCAATATCGTCTATACCCATATTTGGTATGCGTACGGATATATGACTATTAGGATAATATATTTGTATTTAAATGACTATTGTGCTCCTTAACCAATTTAATCAAAACTCATTTGTTTACGTACATAAGATATATGGGGGTATAAATGTTATTTTCATGTTCAATCCTTTAACTCATATATGAAACCCCCTTCCAAACCGGGTTTCATGAAATCATTAACTTGAGTTTCATTTTCGGGCTTAAAGCGGGTTAGATTTTAAATTCTGGGCTAACTATGTATTTGTCAAAGATGGGTGTGATGGAATTTGTTCCCCAACCCATGTTTCAAAACCCACCCCCCCAAAAAAAAAAACTCACATACCAAAAAGGTATGAAAAATGACAATCTATAATGCAAATAATTAATTAGTTAGAGTAATATTAAATATAAATTATTTACATTTTCATACTACAAACTTATTTAATTTTAAATATCATTACGTAATAATAATTTAAACGATGAAGTGAGTTTGAGACTCTTTAAATTTGTGTTTTAAAAGTAGGATTTAATTGTCTTCTTGAAAATAGAACAGAATTAAGAGTATTTCCTATAGTTCTTTTTATTTAAAAAAAAAAAGCTTGATAAAAAAAAACTTAAAATAAAGAGTAAAATTTTATACACAACACTAATTAGGACTTACATTTTAGATTCAAATGCATAGCATTTAATGAAAAATGTCTTATTTTAGATATGTGTTATCCCCAGTTGGAAAAAAATATTAGATGTAATGATGACATTATATCATAATTATTGTGTTATGTCACCATTTAATAAAAATATAATAACTCAATAGGTGAATCTCATATATTTTACCTTATCATTTGATAACCACCACTAAAGGAAAGTTATTTTGTTCATTGTAAGTTAAATATAAAATAACGACATGATGATAACATTCTGTAACTGTTACGCACAATATAATCCATTACCTGGTCGACATGCCCTGAAATTGGTCGTTGAAACTTAACCCAGAAGCAATCGAACCGAGTCAACCTCAACGCTATTTCTACCGTTCATACTTACTGGCACACGGTTTCTCATCTTAACCGTCCATTCTTATCGACTTTCGCGCCGAACAACTACACCCTATATACCAACACGCAGATACCCAAGATCGTATAAAATTGAGTACATATACGATATTTCTAGAACAGCATTTTCCATTAGCAAAGCGTTTGAGAAATTCTCTTCCGATCATGGCCGAAACAGACCCAAATCCTCAACCAGAGACGACGGAAGCCGAAGAACAGAGGCTCAAGTACCTGGAATTTGTGCAAGTCGCCTCGCTTCGCATGGTGATGTGCGCTTCGAAGCTCTACGATTATGCCAAGGACAATTCTGGCCCGCTGAAGCCCGGTGTTAAGACCGTGGAGGGCACTGTCAAGACGGTCGTTGGACCTGTTTATGATAAGTTTCACGACGTCCCCGCTGAAGTCCTCAAATTTGTTGATCGCAAGGTTTGTTTTCTTTCAATTGAAAATTTTCCTTCGTTTTTGTTTAATTATACAACGAACTGCTTAGGAAGAATATATATGTGAAATATGGTGATGGTAGAAATATTTTCAGTAGTTACAATTTAATTCCTATTGTTTTTTATTTGTTTTTGAATGATCCAATAGATTACCTCTGTAAAAAAGTAGGCATCAAGTGGTTTGTTCTTCAATTATACTGAAGACGACCATTTAAAACAACTTTAAAAGCCACCGCTGTATTCTACCAAAAATGATTCTATCAGAAAAATCTTTAATGTTAGGAATACGAAAGAGAGAAAGCTTGTTCTATAATTTCTTCGGATAATTCGGAATTGTCAAATAAAAAAAGAAATTCGTGAATCATTCTTGATGTTTGGAACATTGGGAATTACTTTCTAGGATGATAAAAGTATGTGGCATAGATGAAAGATTATCAGTTTGTTTGGCGAATAAATTGGGATAAATCTGATAATTTTCAAAGATCTGGGGAGTATTGTTGCCATGTAAAATTGGATAACACTATGGTAGTGGGAGAAATTTTTCATACCGTGCTAAAAGTGACCATCTTAAAGGTGAAGGTGAAGTTACAACTGTTAATGTAATTCATTATCAATCATATTATTTCAATAAGCTAAAATTTTTGTTTTACGAGTTATAACTTGACTTCTAAAGATGTAACTTCACTTCAATATCTCTTGTTTTTAATTTTTTCATATCATTTTTCATTGTCATAGGAAGTATAGCTAAAGGATTAGGGTTCGATTGTTTAGCGGGTGAATGGTAGAAAATGCAAGAAAGAATTTTTTTTAGAATTTTAATTTGTTTGATTAGCATGAAAATGAAAATGAGAGAAAAAATAATTTTCTTTTATATTTGAATTTTCTCATAATTAAGTTTGTAGGATTAACATAATATTAGTGACAATATTTTGAGAGAAATAGAGAGAGGTTAAAACTTAACCTACTTCTCATATATCACTTGTATTTATAGTTAACCTATAATAATAAGAATTATACATATACTCTCTTACTATTAACAATTTACACATACTATCCTACTATTTTTAACACTCCCCCTCAAGCTGGACTATATATATCATATAATTTAAGTTTAGAACAAATAGCTGTAAGACATGTACGGCTCAATACTTTGGTAAACATATCTGCAAGTTGATCTTTAGATTTCACAAATGAAGTGGTAATCTCCCCGACAATTATCTTGTCCCGAATAAAGTGACAATTAACCTTAATATGCTTAGTTTTTTCGTGAAACACAGAATTGGCAGCAATATGGATAGCTGTCTGGTTATTACAGAACAACTGTGAATGAAATTGAACTGGAAACCCAATTTCTTGGAGGAAGTGTAGTAGCCAAGTCAACTCACTCATTGTATGTGTCATTGTCCTATACTCAGCCTCAGCACTGGATCTTGCTACCACGGGTTGCTTCTTACTTTTCCACGAGACAACATTACCTCCTAAAAAAGTATAATAACCAGTATTTGATCTCTGATCAGAAGGAGAGCCAGCCCAATCAGAATCTGAGAAACTTTTCACTTTAAGATGTCCATTCGCTGGATATAACAGTCCAAGTCTAGGAGTTCATTTGGATATCGTAGAATAGGAGTAACTAGCTCTCAATGTGGTACTCTAGGACATCCCATGAACTGACTTACTATACTGACTACATAGGAAATATTCGGTCGAGTAATAGTGAGATAATTAAGCTTCCCAACTAATCTACGATATCGACTCGGATTCTCAATCAGTGCACTATCATCCATCAATAATTTTTGATTCGGATCTATAGGAACATCAATCGGTCTACCACCCAGCAAATTTGTTTTCTCAAGTATGTCAAGTACATATTTTCTCTTGGATAAACAAATACCCTGTTTAGATTGAGTCACCTCAATACCCAAGAAATACATGAGTTTTTTCAATCCTTAGTATGAAATCGATCCTGTAAGAATATTTTTAACTTGGCAATCCCCTCAGAATCATTTCCAGTAATCACAATATTATCTACATAGATCACCAATAGGACATATCCAACATCTGTCTGTCTATGAAACACAGAATGATCTGTCTAATATCGAAGAAGACCAAATTCTAAAACTGCATCTGAAAACTTACTAAACCATGCCCTCGGTGACTACTTCAAACCATACAAAGATTTTTTTAACCGACATACACTCTTACTATACTCCCCTTAAACAGTAAACCTAGGTGGTTGTTCCATGTATATCTCTTCAACCAAGTCACCATGTAGGAAGGCATTCTTGACGTCGAACTGAAACAAGCGTCAATCAAGATTAGCAGCTAAAGAAATCAAGATACGAACAGGAAAAATTTTGGCAACAGGAGAAAAAGTCTCCTCATAATCAACATCATAAGTCTGAGTAAAGCCCTTCGCAACAAGCCGAGCTTTGAGACCCTCCACAGAGCCATCTGGGTGAAATTTAATAGTATACACCCAACGACAGCCAACAGTTCGTTTACCAGGGGGTAAAGGAACGAGATCCCATGTCCCATTATGATGTAAAACATCCATCTCCTCTTCCATAGCCTTCCTCAAACCCAGATCAGATAATGCATCCTGTAAATGCTTAGAAATAGATATAGCGGATAATTTGAAAATAAAACAGGAGAAGACAAGAGACAAGACATTATATGAAACAAAATGAGAAATAGGATGATTAGTAACACACGAACGAGTACCTTTGCGAAGAGTAATAGGTAAAGAATCTAAATTACGTGATGTACTAGGATTAGAAGGCGGCAAGGAAGACGGTACGAGCACTTCAGTGGATGGGCGAGGACTGCAAGAGTAGACACGGAGAGGCAAAGTAGATGGTAACACAGCGGGCAGCGGAATATCTAAAGATGAGGAAAGAGATGGTGGTACAAGAGATGATCTAAAGTCCAGATGCAAAGGGTGAGAAGGTGTTGGAAAGTATGGAACAGATTCGGCAAACGTGATATCGGCACTAGTAAAGTATCGGTGCAGAGAAGGACTGTAGCAACGATACCCCTTCTGTGTGCGGGAGTAATCAAAAAATACACATTTGGTAGCTCGAGGGTCAAGTTTGTCAAACCCAGGACCCAAATTGTGAACATAACAGACACATCCAAAAACGAGTTAGAAAAAATAAGGGCTTATTAGGAAAAAGGACAGAATATGAACTGTGCCCATTCAACACAGAGGATGACATACGATTAATAAGATGACAAGCAGTAAAAATTTCATCACTCTAAAAATATCAAAAAATATTCATCTGGAATAACAGGGCACGGGTGACTTCCAACAAATGACGGTTCTTGCGTTCAGCAATACCATTTTGTGGAGAGGTGTAAGCACAATAAGTCTGATGAATAATGCTAGTTTTATTAAGATAAGCTGAAAAAGGATCAGATTCATATTCCCGAGTATTATCAGAACGTAAAGTAAGTATACGACAATAAAACTGAGTTTTTATTTCCTTATGAAAGGTCTCAAATATAGAGAATAAGTCAGACCAAGTTTTCATCAAAAACAACCAAGTCACACGAGAATAGTCATCCACAAATGTCACAAAATAAGGATATTTATTAGATGAAATATTTTTTATTGGACCTCATACATCAGAATGGGCTAATTCAAATGGACTAGACACACGATTATTGACTCTTGACTGAAATGACATACGGTGATACTTACTAAGTTGACAAGGTTCACAGGACAAAGACGACACATAACTAAGACTGGGAACTTGGCGCTTCAAATTCTGGAGAGAAGGATATCTAAGACGACAGTGCCATTGAAAAGGAGATAACGAGGTCTGTAGAGCCCGGGTAGGTGAATCAAAGTCTAGGTAATATAGGCCACCAGCTTTTTGTCCTGTACCAATTTTCCTCTTTGTCTTGAGATCCTGAAAGACACAATAAGAGAGATAAAAGGTTACAGAACAATTGAGAGAACGGGTAATCTTACTAATGGAAAGTAAACTAAAAGAAAACTGAGGAACAAATAAAACGGAAGATAGAAACATATCAGGACTCGAGTTAGTAGTCCCAAAACCTGAAACTTTAGAACAAAAACCATTGGCAAGTGTAACACTACGATTGAAAGTAGTAGACCGATAAGTTAAAAAGACGTTAGACACACTAGTTATGTGGTCAGAAGCACCAGAGTTTATGATCCAGGGACTACGAGTGGAGGACGACAGACATGTGGAAGTAGTACCTGACTAGGCAAAAGTAACAGTGGAGGGTGATGGAGCAGCCTGTTGCTGGGACAGGAACTGAGCATACTCCTCTCGTTTAATAATAACCGACCCAGTGTCTGGTGGAGCTGACCGAGGTATGGAAGCAACAACAGAAATGTCATCCTAATTGGAAGCCTGATTCGCAACACCAGAAGGTTTTTCATGTAAATTCTAACAGAAATCAATAGTATGCCCTTCACGACCACAGGGAGTACAGGAACGTGGTCCACTACAGCCCCCACGACCACTCGTACGACCTCCCGTAGGACCTCCTTGACCACCACGATTACCACGACCACCACGACCATCTCGAGGATCATCCTATGACTACTAGATACCATAAGAGCTGAGTGATCAGTGGAAACACCATGATTAATACCTAAAGTAGACAAAGTAGCACGTTGCATACGAGAGAAAATCTCAAGTAGTGAGGGAAGAGTAGAACCACCCAAAATTTGAGAACGAATACCCTCATATTCAGGTTTCAAACCTACCAAAAATCTAACAACATTCATGTCCTCATGTTGCTTCTGCCAAACTACTGCATCAGTAGTAAACGGATGATAGGTCTTCATCTCCTCACAGACTCCCTGAACGTGAGAGTAATAATCCTCGATGCTCAGATTACTCTGTTCCAGTCGGAAATACTCTTTGCACACCTCATAAGCTCGGGTAAAATTGCCCGCACCAGAATGCATAGTGGCTAAGTGATTCCATATCTCCTTAACAGTGTCAAGGTAGAGCAGAGTAGAACTAATACTAGGCTCAATGCTATTCAATAGTACATAAATAATTTGAGCATCCTCTTATTCCCACTGATCATGCCCAGGAGTATCTTCCTTGGGTTTAGGATTCACCAGACATTACTTAAATCATTTGCCTCGAAGAAAAACTTGAACAGATCGAGACCATAAAGTGTAATTAGTCCCATTAAGTTTGACAGAGGTCATGGGACCATTAATGAGTTAAAGGAGTCAAAGATGGAGTAAGAGCCATGGTGTCTTGTTTGGGTTCCATAAGAGTGCAGCAAATAGAAAATAAAAAAGTGCTACAATGTTGAACCAGAGAAAATCAGGCTGCTGAAAGACTAAACCGGCCTAGAGAACCACTGAACCGGACTGGTTTAGCCCAAAGAAGGCTGCTGGAAGGCTGAACCGGCCTAGAGAACCACTAAACTGGACTAGTTTAGCCCTCTGGACCATTGAACCGGCCTTGTTGAGGCTACTGGAAGCCTGAACCAGACTGGTTTAGTCCTCTGGACCAATGAACCAGAGTAAAACTGTTCTGAACTGGACTGAACCGGACCAGCTGGACTCTCTTAACTTCTTAACCGAACCGGTCTATGCTGGACCCAGTCTTGGGTTAGACTGTGGGTTGACCCGATTTGACCCAACCCCTTCTTCTCTTCGCTGCAAGGGTTAGAAACCCTATTCTGAACACGTAAGTGGCACACACCACCGCCACTACTCAGGGCAGCCCAAAGCCTAATTTCTGCACCACACCACCGCCACTACTCAGGGCACACACCACCGCCACTACTCAGGGCAGCCAACTACACAACCACGAATCAAGGTCGACTACACAGCGTCAAACGTCGACTACCAACACCACAACAGTCGACTATCAACGTAATCACGATGCACATGACATAAATGTATTCAGAATATATACTTTTGATCGTTTAGCTCTGATACCATGTTAAGTTTGTAGGATTAACATAATATTAGAGACAATATTTTGAGAGAAACAGAGAGAGGTTAAAACTTAACCTAGCTCTCATATATCACTTGTATTTATAGTTAACTTACAATAATAGAAATTACACATATACTTTTTTACTATTAATAATTTACACATGCTACCCTACTATTCTTAACATGCACAAATAACCAGTTTTTTTTCTTGTAAAAAACACAAGAAAATACAAGAAAGTTGTAATCTATAGTTAATTTTTTATTTTACCCTTATTTTTTTAAAAAATATTTTATTAGTTATTAATTTTAAAAAAATTTCGTATGAATTTGATTAATCATATAATTTGGCTCAAAAACCTTTGTGTTGGTCATTGTCTTAGAATTAGGTTTCGAGCTATTTTTTTTAAAAAAAATTTTAACGTTCAATTGTAATTACATATTTTTTTCTTTTTTAGACCAATTTAATATAATTAAAGATAATTTAGACAATTATAAATTTTTTTTTATAATTTTAATTTCTTTTAAACAATAAAATAATTTTTTTAAAAAAAAATTTCGGTAAATTTTTCATTCTAATAAAATATATGCATGAAAATATATTTTATATCATTTTTTTGTCTTTCACTTCACTTTCTATTATTTTCACTTTCCATCATTTTTTTCTTTCTAACCAAACGGACCCTAAGGTCTAGCCATAAAACTAGAACGTTCACAAGATATGGTTGTGTGGATGTTAGTTCGATTTGTTTGTTAGGTTGATTGTTGTTTTTATCCTATGGGATTTGAGTCGATTACAATTTAAACCCTATGCTGTAGAAACCTATCCTTCATCTACTTAAAATTAAGGACCACAAAGAATATACTTCTTTTAATTTTTTTAGTGTTCTAGTGTTTTTCTTCTTAATTGTTTTTTACAAATTAGGGTTCGTTTGTTTAGCGGAAAAATAATAGAAAATGTAAGAAAGAGAAATTTTTTAAAATTTTCATATGTTTGGTTAGCATGAAAAGGAAAATGATAGAAAAAATAATTTTTCTTCATGCTTGAATTTTTTCACAAATAACCAACTTTTTTTCTTGTAAAAAATACAAGGAAATGCAAGAAAATTGTGATCTATAATTAACTTCGTATTTTACCCTTATTTTTCTTAAAATATTTTATTAGTTATTAATTCTAAAAAATTTTGGTATGAATTTGATTAATCATATAATTTGGTCAAAAGACCTTTGTATTGGTGATTGTTTTAAAATTAAGTTTCGAGTCATTTTTTTAAAATTTTTTAACTTTCAATTATAATTACATATTTTTTTTCTTTTTATACTGATTTAATATAATTAAGGGTAATTAGCCAATTATAAAAAATTTCTTATAATTTTTCTTTCTTTCAAACAATAGAATGAAATTTTTTTAAAACTTTTCGATAAATTTTTCATTCTAACTAAATACATATATGAAAATATATTTTATATCATTTTTTTTTCTTTCACTTCACTTTCTACCATTTTTACTTTCTATCATTTTTTTCTTTCTAATCAAACGGACCCTTAGGAAATCTACTTAATTCATAGGAAGATAATGGGAAGAAAGTGATTAGTTCAATATATAATGGTAATTATGGTATAGTTGTTTTGTAGATTGGGCTTAGTTTGTTTTGGGCTCGTTGAAACTTGTTCATATTTGAATACAAACTGAATGTGATCACAAATTTAGGCTCATTTTTATTTGAGCCGAGTCTGAACCATTTGCTTGTATCTAGTTTTCTCTCCTCCACTTCCATCTCTAGAAGCATCTATAATAAGTATCTCAAACACACCCTTTCTCTATGTTCAAACCCCTCTCCCCCCCCCCCCCCCTCTCTCTCTTCCCCTCCAACCCAAAAAAAAATATAAATTCAAACCTCATATCTCTCCTCCCTCTTTCTCCTCCTCTTTCACCCTTACTACCTCATAGAAGTCTTCCATAATTCTCATTGCATAATGTGGTGTTGCTGCAAAAACAAAAATGGTTGTGTTATTGTGAAGTCCTTGTATGGGATGATGTGATTAATATAGTTATAGGTTATCTTCTTAATTGCTGATTTGGTTGGATTTTTCGTTAAATCTATTTATTTGTTCATTCGCCTTGATTGTCAATTTGGTTGATTTTTGACATAAATACATGGCCCCATTTTCTTTTGGGTAAATGACATAAATATGTTCGTTTGGCTTGATCCCTGATTGCTAGCTTGAGTGCGAGCTTCAATTTGAGCTCGAAGTGGAAAAGAGTCAAGCCAACTTGAGCATCTCCCATTCCAAGTGAACCAAGCCAAGCGTGAGCAAAAATCAAAGCTGGTTGATCAAACTTGAGAAGAGCTTGCACACGACAATAACAACTCTAATCGGACACAGCATACTCAAACTGGAAAGGCTTGTCTTGATTAATACCGCCAAGTGCCACTGACCTAACCGAGTGAACTAATTTACTCGTTTCTTTTAGCATTCAAGTATCGAGATGGTCTCATTTTGGCTGGTGATGTTAGAATTTACTCATCCAAGTTTTCCCTCCTTTCTTTTTTCAATATTCTTGCAGTATATGTACAAAACAATTGCAGAAGGGGAACTTTTGTGATTTAGGATTTGAAAATTTTAGATTTCAAGTGGGTCTGATTTCTGTGATTCTGGGTTTCATTTTTGCTTTATTTCTCATTTGTTTCTTTTGCTTTTGCATTTTCTCTGGAATTTTTAGGGATTTGGCAGATATTCTAATCATATCAGTCTGATTCCGATATGAACAGTCCGAGTTGACCCGATATGACTTTGAGTTAGGCTGATACCACCGAGTTAAGAAATGAGTCACCACCGATTTGGGTGAAAATCGATATTTTTGTGTAATGTGCACCGGTATCAGATTTGCAATGGCCGTGTCCGGCCAATACTTTGAACCCTGATTCCGATGACCAATTCTATAGTGTCACATTCAGTGTAAAATTGTATAAGTGAGAAAACTAGTGAAATCAAATATATTGTATGTCAATCAATTGTTGCCACTTGTAAAGTTGTCAGAATATTTTTTGAAAAAATCAATATGTGTGTCTGACAAAGCAAGAATTGTGACAAGTCCGGTTCATTTCTTGTATTTAGATGTTTTAAATTTTTTTTTGCAAATTTATTGGCAAAAATATGGGACTTATCGAGGTTGTACTTAGTAGTCATTTGGTTGCTTCAATGGCAAAACCAAAACAGTTTAATTTCCACATGTCTGTGATGTAAAGTGTTCTTCAAATAACATTATTTTTGGACAATCATTACTAGTTCAATTTTGTGGGATGTCAAATCAAACGTAGTAGATTCAGATATATTTTTGATACATGGTCTTGTCTAGGGCACTCATGGTCTTGTCTAGGGCACTCATGGTAATGGGGTCTGAGTTTTTTTTTTTGCCTTTGATCACATGGATGCAGGTTGATGAGTCTCTGAACAAGTTTGACAGTCATGTGCCACCTGTTGTGAAGGAGTTATCAACCCAAGCTTTCTCGGCTGTCCAGAAGGCTCCTGCAGCTGCTCAATCTGTGGCCTCAGAAGTCAAGAGCACTGGTGTGGTGGAAACTGCTTCAGGTTTAGCAAAAACTGTATACACCAAGTATGAGCCAACTGCCAAGGAGTTCTACTCTAAGTATGAGCCAGTAGCTGAGCAGTATGCTGCTTCAGCTTGGCATTCCCTTAATAGGCTCCCACTCTTCCCTCGTGTGGCTCAAGTTGTTGTCCCAACTGCAGCTTATTGTTCCGAGAAGTACAACCAGACTGTACAACACACAACCGAGAAGGGATACAAGGTTTCAGCATATCTCCCATTGTTGCCCACGGGAAAGATTGCCAAAGTATTTGGGGCCAACGATGCACAAGCCCAAGAGGCTTTTCCCAGCGGTGAGGAATCTGCTGTCCCAGTGCATTGATGTTCAGTCCATGTTGATGTTTTGTAAACCCAAGAGGCTTTTCCCAGCGGCAAGGAATCTGCTGTCCCAATGCGTTGATGTTCAGTCCATGTTGATGTTTTGTTTTATGATATGTTTGTAAAATTTAGGAGGAGTTGATGCTGTGCTTAGAACTGTTTATTTTCTATTTCTTATTTGGTGTGGTAAAATATGGGATGTGTTTTATGTAAAAAGCTTTGCAACTTTGGTGACTCTAGTTCTGTGTAATGAATATGTTTCTTATTGTCATGTTTGTGCCTTATTGCTGTAGTTTTTAGTTTATGATAGGCAACCTCCTGATTCTGCAACTGTTACTTGTAACTTTGCCTTCTCATTCACGACTCTTGTTTTATGGGGGCTGGGTTCTTATTTTCACGTTACAGTTGTACCTTATTTCATTAAAATGTTAGGCTATCTCCTGATTCTACAGGTGATACTCTTTTCTTGACTTATTATTGCAGAGATGGCTATAATTTGAATCAAGAATGTATTTGGAGGAAACTCATGTCATTCTATTTCATGGTAAATTTATTGCTGCTTCGTACATGTTTGAGCACTGTGGCAGCATCTGTTCAGTATAAGGTCTGCATCTATCTTGCTGCACCTGATGCCTTGGCCTGAAAGCTATTGAAGGGTTCCAAATGGCAAAAACATCACATTTAGGACTAGATGGTGGCGACCGTAGCATTGAAGTCAATAACAGAAATTGGAATCATGAGAGCCATAGAGATATACAAATAATAAATCGGTTTTTAGTAAGTTGTCTTGGGTTTGTATCATATCAAATAAAAATTTATATTTGACCTATTTTATTGTCATGAATAGTCAAGTTCGTGTCGTATTTAGTTGGATTGCTATGGACTTATTTATGTTAGATCACATTTGTAATTGATTAATTTCATGGAGTCTATTGTAAATCTAAATTTTTTTACATGGTCATGATGCAATTAAATTCGAGATTCGAAAGCATCATTGAAGGGAGGAAATCAAACGTCAAAGTAACATCATTCAGCCTATGCATGCACCTTCGTATTTAGGACAAAGGTAATGCTCTAGACACCCAAAATGAATCCTTAATTATTTTTAACTTAGGTTGATTAGGATGAAAATGTAATTAGAATTAATCTGACCATAACTCCTAGGTTTAAATAAAATCTTAAAGAAAAGATTTTTTACACAATTTAGGAGTTTTGGAAAAATAGATTGAGTTATTATCGCACCCTTCTTCGAGCAATATCATTTAGTAATCAAGAGGACAAAATTTTGTATGATTTTATGCTTAAAAACTTGTAGGAACTGACATATGCTCGCTAGCCTTCATTAAAACGATCTCTTGATGACTAGGGGAGGAAAAGGAAAAAGGCCATGAGAAAATAGTTAGTGTCGCCCCTATGACTACCCTCCCACTAATCGAGTGGTCATTCGCGAATCTGAGTTTTCTTATTTACCAAGATTACCCTTATTTTGAACCTATGAATAGTGAGTCTTTCTCACACCTACGTTAAACCTTTTATTAGATTTCTAATAGAGAAAATCATCTTTCTATCTTGAGAGTTTCCACCACAATGTAGATCTCTAAGACCCATAAGACTTTCCACTAGAGATTCTACCCAACCACACAAATTAAAGTTGAAGATTTTGTTGGTTTCATAAACCCATTGGTGTGTGCATTTTAGGGATCGTTGGTGTGCCTATAATTGCTCTAGACCTAAATGAACCTACGGTGGGGAGGTTCAAATGAAGATACATTAGACGTCGAAGGAGGGCCTTTGACAGAGAGACAACAAAGAAATGAACATCTAACCATGATATTGGTTGATGTATAAGTCTCAAGTACTTGTATGTTGACTTAAAGAGTAGTGGATTAGACTATGATGAACCAAGAAGGTACCCCCGCAGTTTTTCCCGATGAGGGTATTTTGCTTCAACAAATCACTCATATTCTATATTGTTTATCATATACACGTGTGATTGTAAGAACACATACACACACTATGGGTTTATTAGAATGGTTGTTTGAATATTCATCTATACATAGTTGTGCAATTGGATTTGGGATTTGGGATCGTCGTGAGATTGATTTTGAGTAAATTAATTGAAGATTAATTAAATTAATCGTCATGAACAAAATTGGTTGTGATGACTAAAAGGATTATCACATTTATTGCTAAATTTTTGTGAGAAGAGGTAATTGTGGTGGTTTATATTTTTAATAGTAATCAATTTAGGCTAAAATTGAAAAACCTATTCATCCCCCCTCTAGATAAAGTGTCTATTACTCCACCTATATAATCATGAGGGAAAATGCACATCAGGTTTTTCCTTTTGGAACAACAATTGTTATCAGAGCATGGTTGTTCTAAGATCATATACACGAGTAGACATTTCTTATTTTTACTTACTTACCTAGTTTACCTTCAAGAGATATATCCTTATTACAAGTTAGTTTTGAATGGAGGCTCAAAAGGAAGGAGGATCAATTACACGACGACCTCTCTTCGATGGTTCTAATTTTGATTATTAGAAAGCTCATATGAGAGCATCTATAAAATCAATTGATGAAAGAGTATGATTAACTATGCAAGAAGGTTGAAGTGAAATCTCCAAAGACTTGGTCGAAGATCAAGCTAGAGTCGGCGAGATGGAACCCAAAAAGCTTGAATGCGATATTCAAAGCTATGACCCAAATGAGTTCTGAATAATTGTAGATTGCGAGACCTCCAAGGAAGCATGGGACATCTTGGTTGTTTCCTAAGAAGTGACATCCATGGTAAAGATGTCTAGATTCCAACAGTACACCTCTCAGTTCGAAACTTTGAGGATGCAAGATGATGAAACATTTAGTGAGTTCTACACTAAATTGTGTGATATTGTAAATTCATCATTTGTATTGGGTATCAAAGTTGACGATGTGGCAATCAAATGGAAGATCTAGAGATCTTTAGCCGAGAGATTTCACGCTAAGGTTACATCCTTGGAATCAAGTGCCAACATAGCGTTGGTGTCAGTGGAAGACCTAGTTAGGTCTATATTGACTTTTGAGAAAAACCTTCCATCCTTAAAGTAAGCTAAGGGCATTTCCTTGAGCTCGATAAACCAAGGAGGAAAATCCAGGTCACCCCGATTAGGAGAAGGAAACCTAGCCTTGATTACAAAAACAAATTCAAAAAATATTTCAAGACTAGAAATGTGGAGTCCTCAAGGTCAAAAACAAATCCAAGTAGACCTACTCCTAAGGAGGGAAGAGATAAAGGGGGAAGAGAATCTGTAAACCCCCACACTCTTATCTTTATATAGCAAGTAATTATTTTTGAAATGTTAATATAGGTGATGAGTTATGCATGAACCCTTAGATTGTAATAGTAGGAATAAATACTAGGAAGGCAAAGTGATTGTGAAATTTAATTTTTAGAGATGTTTAAGGTTGATAAGGGTAAATAAGTAAAAATATTAATTTTTTTATGTCAAAATAATATTTTCAAAGAACCTGGGAGATCCAAAAAATTTGAAATAGCCGTTTAGCACATATAGCGATTCGAAGGAATAAAATAGTAATTTTAGTGTTTCGAGTGTAAATTTATTTTAGTTTTGAGATAAATCATAAAAGTAAATGTTTTTATGTTAAAATAACATTAAAAATGAATCCGGAACGTCGAAAAAACTTATGGTAGTCATATAAATTAAATTGGAGATTTTTAGTGGTAAAACTGTAATTTTGGAGAAAACCCAAAAATCAGCCTATGAACAGTAACTTTGGGGGACTGCTGTGTTTAAAACACAGATTTCAGCCCCTTTTTCTTCCATTTTTTTCTCACATCTCTCACCCCCAAACCTCTTAGAATCCTAGGAGAAGAAAAAAGGAAAAGGAAAAGGGAAGAAGAAAGGCTCTAAAGCTTGGGTTTTGGTTTGAAACTTTGATTCAAGGTATAGATTTTTTCTCATTCTTCTACATTGAGGCTAGGGCTTATGTATATATGTACTCTTTTGACTCTAAATTCAATATGTATGTTATAAAATTTTTAATTCTTGTTATTCTTGCAATAAATGTCATGTTTTAAACAATGTGATGGTTGGGTAACCATTAAAACTCTCTTTTTCATCTTCAAACCTTAGATTTTAAGAAAAATAGATTTTTCTCTCCATATTTCCTTTATTCTTGATTTTCAAACTTTAGGCTTTCCATTAAACAATAAAATGGTATTGATGTTGATCTCTTGTCTATTTTTCTTATATGGTTCTATTGGATAACATACGAGAAATTTTGGGAATTTTAGAAATTATGAACTTTTGCTAAGAAATTGTTGGTGATTGTATCTCATGGAAATGTTTGGATAACCATGGGTGGCCATTGACTGGGTATCGTAGAATGGGTAGATATGTGTGATTCTTACTCCATGCGGGTTTGAACTTTTTCTACCACTCGTAGTGGGGTTGGTGCCTTGCGAAGACCAAACCACTATTAGCTCACGGGTGCCGTGTCAAAGAATTAGCATACTATGCCTGGGTCGGATTCATTATTTCCAGTGCATTGGTATGGGACAATGCATCGGTAGGCGCCCTTCCCAAAGTTTGATATCCTTTCGAGGATTTGTATGTGTGGGCCAAGATATTCTCTATGTGTTAATTCATGCAATTATCTTATATCAAACTTGAGATATATTGTGGTTATTGTTTATTTCGTTATCTTTTGGATATGATTATCTTGAAAATTATTGTGGGAATGATTACTCTTTAGAATGGTTATTTATGATGGGATTGACTTTACTCTTGTACTAAATTATTGTTAATGTATAAACTTGAGATCTTTTAAAAATATCATGTTTTTTTTTCAAAATTTACATATGCTAATTATGAAATGAGACCGACCATTTTCTACGTTTTTCAAACCTTGTTAGAGTTTGAGAGGATTTTCTTACAGAGTTTAGTGCTCAACCCCTACCAATAATATTTTTTTTTTCTTTAGATTTCGTGCTGGAGAAAAATCCCGGAGTTGACGTGTAACACCCCGCATTTTCTTTTATATATGTATATAGATATATAGTAAATAATTGTGGTAAAAAAAAATTTGGATATATGTAGTGATGTGTGTTTGAATTTGGTTGTATGAAAAAGTAGAGATTTAAAATGTTAGTGAAAATAATAGTTGAAATTTAGTTTTAATAAGTGAAAATATGAAATTTTAGGTCCTAGAACTTGTATTAAATAGGTTTGGTGTAGAAATATGTGTTGGAGAGGTTTGGGATGGATTTGGTTGGCTTAGGAATGGATTGAAAATGGAAAAGGGACGAAGACAGGCTGTGAACAGTGCACTGCTGCAACTTCAAGTTCGATTTAGAATTTGATTCAGTCAATATCTCTCAAAACTCAAAACATGAAAGTTTTAGAG